TTCAATATTAAAAAAAAATTGAACAACCAAATTATTAATATTTCTTTTAACGTTCTACTTTCTATTACCAACCTTAAAAACCTAGTYACAAAGTAGGCATCTACAAAAAAAACAAATATTATTAACTTAGGTACCTAGCTATTACATAATTTATTTTATAAAAATAAGTCTTTAATACTTTTCATACTGAAGGATGTGGACTGTAAAGTTATTCATTGTAATGTGAATGAGATTTGAGTAGGTACTTACAATTTTCAAGTTTAAAGTCAAAAAACAATTTGTGCTTTTGAGTAGGTATGTGTTCGATATGCAAATTATGTACAACTTTTTTGATGAAGGACGTATGCATAAATGTTCGATGCGCAAACGATGCAAAAGTGGCATACCTAACCCAAAACGCTAATGATGCACAACTACTTCATAGAAAATATCAAAAGTAACTAAGTTTATGCGCAAATGATAAGTGGCAACAGAACGGCACAGGTGGGTTAGATATAAACTATCGCCTATGAAGTATGAACGAAAAAACAACTTAATTCTGGGTGCTTAGGTATAAGAATTTATAGTTAGTAGGTACTAGCTGGGTAGATACCAAAAAATGACAATACTAATAATACGATAGTGTTTGTCGCAGACTTAATTATGTTTTTAACTGTGAGCGATGCACCTTAATGCAATTAAGGTTAATTGGTTAAAAAGGTTAACCTCTATGCAATTTATGCATTTCGTGGATCATGGTAGTACCTAGGTGCTGTAGACATAAATATTGTACATTATACTTTTAAAATTTACGTTTATACGTACAACGTACACTTAAATACCTAACCTAAACTGCACTCCGAAGACTAGTAAAATTCTAATACCTACCATAGATCGTATCAATTTAATCCATAAACCTCGTCAATTCAATTCAATCTGTAAAATTTAAGCAAATAAGTTAATTTAAGCTGATGACGATTACTGTATAACAACAAACTACCTATGAATGAAAAGGTAAACTATTAAGAGCGGTTGAGAATAAAAATATATATATTATTGTGCTAGTTATGCTTGTATGGATTTGAAGATGTTGAAAGTTGAGACTAAAGGAATATCCACTAGAGCAAATATAATTCTTTGTGTTCATAATCGTTGTAAATAGTTGCTATCTATAGTTGAAAATAATTTTTGAATAGGTATTCATTTAGATTCTTAGACACCTATAATATGTATGTTCAAAATTTAAATTGAATGAATCTTTTTATGACTACAGATACAAAATCAGCTGTTTACAAGAAAAATAATGGTAAATTAGATGAATCAATAGGAGGCATAAAAGAAGTAGATGCAKAAAAATACAAAAACGGTAAACTAATGAATGAAGAAAAATCAACAAAATACAAAGAAGAAAAAGGAAATGACGACAAATATAATGACAAAGGAGGTGATGCTGGACAGATACATACACACGGAGGTAAAAAGAAAGAGGCGTCATACAAAAAAGGCGACAAACAAAAAAAATTTAAAACAAAAAAAGTATGTAGGTGTCTAATATATGATAATAAATGTAATTAATAAACAGGTACTTTAACTTAATCTTCAGGGTTTTCGAGATAATTATCACAAAAATGAAAAACATAAAGTTAACGAATTCTGGGACAATTATGAAACATATGGTACTTTTAAGAAGTTTGGTAAAAAGGGAGACAAAAAGTTGTTAGGCAATAGGAAAAATAAGAAAAATAAAACCAAAAAAGTATGTGATTTACATAGTTTTTAAAAGTATTCATTAATTTTAATTAATATTTTTATAGGGAGGCCAATCAAACAAAGAAAATAGTAACAAAGGCGAAACTAAACATAAATCTGGAAAAAAAGGAGAAATGGGACATAACAAGGAAAAGCATAGTGACACTCACTATAATAATGAGTCTCAATATCATAAAGAAAAAAAATCTAAAAAACACCATAAGAAAAATACATAAAATGTGTAAACATTTTATTAAAAAATTATTACCATAAGTATAAAATAGTAGTAAATATTTTAACAATAAGCATTAGAAAAGTAGTAATACAAAAATAAAATAGTTAAGTACAATTATATGTATTTAAATTTAACTAATGACAATAATTAAAATATGGAAGTTTCTCAGGAACTTCGATTTGTTTTCTTTAAATACACAGCAATTTTTATAATTCTTCAAACTCAACAGTCAACAATCAAAATGTATTTTTCTATACTTGAAGATCAATAAACAAATTAAAAACAATTTTGGTTAATGAAAACGGTTTTTAATCCTATTTTGATAATTCATAATATAGTTAGAAAATAATCAGATAATGTGACGGTTTTTACTACATTGGTTTTTGAACAATAAAAACGCTACATTCTTAAGTCATTAGTAACTAAGCTATTGATATAAATCTAACATTTAATAATCAATAATTAATTACACTACAATAAATATATTTTTCTTGTGCATCACTAATGCTATTGCACACCAAAATATTGTAGCCCAACAATCCATCACTAAATACTCCGTGTGAGAAGTCTCATTTACCGGTTGCCACCTCCATGGAAGTGTATTGTAAAATATATTGTGTCCAAGGTATAACATAATTGAATTTTGACCTAGTAAATATGAATATTTTAATAAGTACAAAATATTATCACAATAATATACTCAATGATTACCAATCTCATTAAATGGTGATCCACCCCAAAGTCTCCAATGTTCAATAATTAAGAACAGTATAATGAATATCAAGAATGCAGAGCTTCCAGTAATAAATGCATAAGACAAAGAGAATAAATTTTTATTAATTGGTATTAAGCCATCTTCTTTGGAAAAGTTACACAAACAACCTCCGATTAGACCCTAAAATGTAAATAGAAAATTGTATCATTATTATTTTTTACTATACATTATTAGTTATTACTAAGGAAACATTAACCCTTTGTTGGTACACAATATTATATAATGAGTGCATCACTCACAAATAACATTTTGATTAAATGTTGGTATCTTCAAATAACAAGTATGAAAATATTTACAAACAAAAATAATATAAGTGTATAATTAATAATTTAAGTACTTTTTTTGTATCCAAAAATGTTATTGTTAAACAAAGTGATGCAATAACTAATATTAATTTTTATAAACTATTGAATACTTTAGTAATCAATAAAATAACTATAATACATTTCAATAATTTCGGTACAATAGAACAGTTTTAATACGATGGAACAATCAAATTATTAATATATCCTACACTTAATAAAAAAATTAGAAACTGTTATTATTTAAATAATCTCCTAGTTATTTTAATAATATTCTTACTAGAACTATAGTCCAAGCAATCCAACGTTTAATTCGTTCGTTAGTATACTGATAGCATAAGATAATGCGACCAGCATGTACACCCATATATACAAGTAAAGTATTAGTCAAAGTACTTAAAATACCTAAAAAAAAACAACAAATTTTTAATTAGTAGTTTGCAGTAAATTTTTAATTGTGGATCAATTATATTTTATCTTACCTTCAGGATCAAATGGTAATGACTGATAAACAGGTTTAGGTGTACCAGAGTACATATGATTTTCGCCAAATACTAGCCTATCAATATATCCCGCAGCACCACCAGTGCAATTAATGTTTGATGAACTATTGTAGAGGCCCCCTGGTCCCAAGTAGCCTTTAGGGCAACCAGGTACAGGTAAAAAGAAAGTAATAATAGTATGAATAGCTACTAATATGATGACTATAATCCATTGCCGAGCACTTTCAATAATATCTCGGATAACATCTAATCTTGTATTCTGGAAAAAATATTTTTAATGTTTGATTTTTTTTTTTAAATTAAAATTTGAATAAATTACTGTAAAATAGGGTTGAGGTTTCATAAAAATTGTTTCCAATGTTGCTGCTATGAAGTATATAAATGCTAGTCTCTGTAATACACCCATTGGTCTAAAAGTATTCAAATTATTGTTGTTGACAGAATTCAGCACTAAACCCATGATCAATAGGGCAATTGATCTTCGAACAATACGGCCAAAGACATATTTTCTTTTCGTGCTTGAACGAAGTTGAGACCGCAATGATATGGCTATGCTTACTCCCATGACCCAACAAAACCTACCGAAAAAACAAACTTTATAATCATAAATTTTATATTATAAACCAAATGTTCAGATAGATACAAATAGATTTTTATTTTACCAAGGCAATATAAAGTCTGCTAATGTGATACCATTCCATGGGGAATGTTCAAAGAACCAATAATGTCCACCTCCCAGATTCACAAAAACCATTAATATGATAGATATCCTAAAACAAAAATATCACATTAGATAAAAAATATTATTACCTTATTATTTCATATTAGTACTTACACAATTATAACCAAGTATAAGATTTATAATAATATAATCTCTATAATTATGTAAAGTTTATAATAATACTGTTGYTTAATATTGAGAAAGGATAAAATGTTCTTTTGAGAAGACTACATTTGCCAAAAGGTGGCAAATAAATAAATGGCTTCTCTAAAATATGCTACACCTCGGAATTACTAATATAAATATATATATATATATATAACCAGTTATGAATCAGAAAATTGGGATTATAGAAATTTAATTAGGAAATCTATTTTTACTTACAAAAACATCAATTATAAATAAATAAATAAATAAACATTTTTATAGAAAAATAATTAAACTTTAATTTTTAATTTTTTTTAGTCTGAATCTAAAAAAAAAAATCTTAATAAAAATATTTTGTCCATATTTTACTCTCCCAAGCTCATTAAAAAAATAAAACAAAATTAAATTAATCTTATTTTACACAAAGACTAAAATTTGGTTTTAACCTTTCTAGTTTAAAATTTAAATACAAACAATTTACTTAATAACTATGATTGCTAATCAATTAAATGCTAATTTAAATTATTAATTATAAAAAGCATAATTAATATTGTAATGTTAAATTTAAGTTATTACCCTCTAAATGTGTCTAATGATGTGATGCGATAGCTATTATTTTTGACTGGTGTCGAAATTTGAGGATGAATAATAACCGGTTCATTAGAACCAGTTCCAAAATCCTAAAATTAAAAAAAAAAACTCATAGATTAAACACTGTTATTTTATAATTTTTTTTTACAAATATATTAGAAATTAAATTCAGATTCATTTTTAAAGACATTTCTAATAAAATTACAAACTATAATTTATGACTTCTGCCCTGTTAATACTAGCGTTAATGCAGGTTTAAGTAATTCTTAGTTAATTTGTGAGTAACATATTAAACATTTGGTTTAATTTATCAAACCAAATAACTCTTACTATTAGATTAAAAAATATTTATAAACTGCTCAACACCCAAAATATTTTAGCATATTACAAATTTTAAATTCTGTATAATATATACTATATTATACCTAAAACACTAATTTTTATCACAGAAAAAAATATTCACGTTCTCAGTACTGCGGTTTCATACATAATGTTAGTAATGTTAGTATGTACAAATCAAAAGTATAATTCATATATAGTTAATTTGCATTAATAAATSTATATAAACACAGTATTAATAWAGTACTTTAATCTGAATTTAATTTCAAAATTAAATATATTGAATAGTAATAATATGATAATATAAGGTATATTATCATGTTCAAATGTGAACAATTCGATTTCTCAAATTATTTTTTTTTTTTGTGCTACACATCAAACTTAAAAAGTTTATGGTAAAAAATACAATTTGATTAGAAATAATAGATAAATCTATTTTACTTTTGTATACACTATAACATGGAATACTATGTACATCATCAATATTTTTGAAACTTTAAGTTAAGAAAGGTATAAATTAATTAGATAGCATTTAAATAATAATAAGCTTTAATAAAAATGATGAGTAAACCTATTAGGAAATGTTTAATTAGTTTTATAAATTACCCCAAATACCAATTAGTAAGGCATTTTTATGAATTATTAAATAAGAAATGAAGCTATAAAATATAATCAAACCGCATTTTTTAATTCGACATCAGAACCATCAAATGTTTGTATATCACGGCTAGGGGCCGTCTGAAACATTTAATAGTTCATACAAAAAATTTAAGATACATAACCCTAAAGAGTAAAAAAATAAGTTCAAATTACATTTTCAATATCCAAATCTGTTTTTGATGCAAATCGGAACACAGATGGCACTACATAAGTTCTTTGCAGATAATTTATGAAAAACCAAACAGCAAAAGACGGAATTATGAGCAATAATGCATAGACAAATGCTAAACAAAAAAATAATAATAATAAATTAATGAGTTTTTAATTATTAGATAATCACTAATTTGGGTACTTGTTTATTATCACCCCGCCAGTAGATACATTGTATAAAATTTATCTCCTCGCCATATAGTTATCGTATTTAGCTCGTGATAGATGATCTATTTTGGGAAATAACTACACTTCGCAAGACATTTTATATCATACTAATATAATATAAAATAAATAATAATATATAAGTACATTGCTGGCTTAACGAAATATAATATTAAAAAGATATTTCTGAGTTCTGGCCTCCTTTGTAAATTGATAATTTTAAAACATTTTTTAAAATTCTTTTACTGTGTTATAATATATTTTATTTATGGTGGGGRRATAACAAACAAAAGTGGCGGGGAGACAAATTTTATACAGTGTATTGGTGGGGCGATAACAATCAAGTACCCTAATTTGTAAAATAACAATTAATAACTTACGCATGAATAAATCTTGAGGAGATAATATTTGTTTGATTTGGGAACAATTGAAATTGCTTGTAATATTCCATTGATAAACTCCATGTTCTTCAAAAGTATGAAGCGTTCTGTTATAAAATAGAGTATAACAGTAATTTATATATTATCATACTGTTTAAGTAATAGTAATGAACTAATGAATAATACTAATTATAATGTAATGAAAATTAATGATTAACCTGCAATTATTATGGTTGCTGTCATTGGTTAAATCTAGCCAGAGACTATAAATTGTATTTAATTTGATATAAGTAATTCCGTTGTTGGATATGTTTTCTTTTTTCAATAAATCACACTGTAGAAAAATATTGATGTAAAATAATTAAACAATGTCACACAAATGAATAATGGGCTAAAAGGTATATGATACATTTACGTATAGTGAACTTCATATACATATATTTACATATTAATGATAGAACAATAATTAATTATATTAAAATCACAATAATTACCTACCATAAAATAAAAATATTAATAACAAAAATAACCAAAATTTATTAATTTGTAACAAGAACTGTGCAATTAAAAAATCCATATTACTATCACTGTTTAAATATGACTTGAATTACTCAATTTCATTACATATTACTTATTAATTAATAATTATGCAATTACATTCAAAATGTACAGCATATTACAATTACCAGAAAATCAATAAACCACAAGTATAACTAGAGTATATGTAGATACAGAACAAGATTAAGAAAATTAGTATTAGTCATCAGATAAAACTTTTAGTAATTCTCAAATAGTCAAAATAGGAGAGCCTATCTTTCAAATAATTATGGATAAAATGAGGTACAGGAATAAAATATAATATGTGTGTCTATACTGTATACATCTTTAAATGTAATATAATGAATTATAATTTAGGTGCCTATGATATAATATTTTTAAGTAAATACTATTTAGTTTAAATTTCTTTTTCTAAACAAATAAAAATAAACCTAAAGCTCTTTTCAGTTAGAACTAGTTAAGATTGGTCATAATTATCAATATAAACTATTTATATAATAACTAATATAAAAAAAAAATAAACAATCACAGATAAATGAAATATAATAGAATGTTTTATAGGAGGCATGTGAGGTGTATCTACTCCATTGGTATATCTAATTTTTTTATCCGCTTTCCAAAAAAAAATAAATACTCAACACTCCACAGTTTATTGATTGGTAATTTTTACATTCTTTTTAACTATGTTTTGTGTAATAGAAAATATTTTAGAGTGTAACATGAAAAATTAATCAAAACCATTACAGTTAATGCAAATACATAACAACATAATATAGTTTAAGCATTAATTTATCAATTATAAAATGAATTAAACAAATTAAAATGGATTATATCCGACCTATATTATGAAAATGTATCAAGTTATGACCTATAACACATTATACAATAAAATAATTTAGTAAACTGATGGTTATATTAAAATTAAGTATTTTAAAATCACTAGTATTAAAGCAAATTTTTTTAAATCTTACTCACTTTGTAACATTCTTCCGTTTGCATCCACAAAGAAATGTTCGGCACATTGTCTGCCCACACTTGTAAGCAAGCTTGGTCATACAWGAGATTTTTACAGTCGTTCAACGCCATTTTGAGTTCTAAACATTAGATACTACATTGAACAATTGTTATTAAAAACATGATTATGACAAATTGCAGAATGACCAATGACAGCACGTACTAGTGTACAACGGCTATAACAGGAACTCTGACATTATAACCATAACAATTATTATTATTATTAAACAATACAAACAAAATATGATGAACCATTCTATTGACTGTCGATCGACTCCACTGTTTTAATCTTAACGTCGGGAACTCGGGAATAGAATAAAGCATAAACTATAAGAAATAACGTTTATTGCTATCGCGTGTTAAGGACATAACAAGTGGTAACCTGATTCCATAATTAATGTTGACGATATTCGATAGTATTGGATAAAAAAAACGTATTCGTTAGAATATTCCGGTCATATTATAATATTTGGAGGAGGTAGTTACAGTGATCGCATAGAAAATATATAGATCGTGTGATAGGTGATTAACCATCGACGATCGTTTCAATTTTCTTGACTCGAGAGTTCGATACCTATTTCAGAATTCCAGATTTCAGTTTGGATTAGTTTAAATAGAAAAAATGATTAACGACAAATGAGTAATGACATTACGATATTCATGATTTATGAAGTTCTGGTTTAGTGGTTTACTATTCTAATCACTTATGGTTTATGAAAGACAATTATTTATTGTGTCCCCAGTCCCCTCCATGTTTCATGAGTGCAGAGTGGTACACGCCGTAGACTAGAAATAGTATAAATTGAAAACTGTTGTTATTGTATCGTATTTGTATAATAATAATGTAGATTTGCTCAGAATGTCTTGGTATCACGATTCTTATCAGGTTCATTGTTATCAATTGTTATCAAAATCGGGAAAACTGTACCCGCCCATACGGTAATGTATGATTTTTTGAAGTGTTCCTATTGTACGGTAATATACGGTAATTTTGATTTCTTTATACGGTTATCGCATAAAAAATTTCTGGCAACACTGGCCACTACCCGAATCTGTTTTCGGGCGGCACGGCGAGGACAATATTAATGTATAATTCAAAATTCAAATTCAAATAGGTACTATCGAATAATTCAAATGGGCCGGACTATCGAATAATTCAATATTACCCACCGGCCACCACTAGACTAGATATTAAAAAATGGATAGGCCGGCATGGTTATATCACAGATTATATAAATCTGTGGTTATATTAATAAAATAGAGGGAAGTGTGCCGGAATGAAGAAGAGAAAAAAGACTGATTTTTATCATTACCTCTCATTCTGGCAGAGGCCTTATCATAAATTATATAWAATAATTATATATATATTTGTGTTAAAACATCTATAACCTCAAAATATTTTCATATTCGTTCCCGTATGATAAGCATAAAATATGGCCTATCCATTCTTTAATATCCATGATCAGGACCGAAAGAAAAGTTTCATTAAAAATTTAAAAACCGCCAAAAGACCTAAAGATTGATATTTGATTTGACCGAATATTTTTAGTATATGCACATCATTCGGTCCATAGAATAAAGATTAGATTCGGTCGCGATCCGGTCACTCGACATTCGACAGATTCGTTCATTTTGAATTTTGATTCATTCAGTCGTGACCATCGCCACTCTATAAATAACTGCATATTCTGTCAGTAAATTGGGTTTAAAGGTTTAACTATAAAATTCATTAGATTTCATTAATCATGTCATGGCTTTTTGGAATGGGTGGTAATAACCCTGAAACATCAAACTTGGAAAATATAGACAATGTTTCAGATAAAAAACCATCACCGCCACCATCATCATCAAGTGGTGAGGCATATAAATTTGATTCATCTGCATTAGAACGAGCAGCTAAAGCTGCCAAAGAATTGGAAAAGTCAAGTTGGTATATTATGTTTAATCGATTATTCATTATAAGAATAGAATAGAAACTAATTATGTTATTATTGTTACATAAAATTGTTAAGAACATGCCAAGGAAGCATTAGATTTAGCAAAATTGCAAGAAACTACAAAGCAAATTGAGTATCAATCAAAAATAAAAGAATATGAAATTCACTTGGAACAAGTGCGTGTCGAACAAAAGCGGGTTGATGCTGAAGAAAGAAAGAAGTTGTTGGCTGAAGAAACTAAACAACATCAATTACGGTCACAATATCAAGATCAATTAGCCCGCAAAAGGTATTTTGATCATGTACATAAAAATTAAATTATGCTTTTTGTTTGAAATATCATAAAAACAATTTTCTAATATCTATATATAACATTCAAAATTCTTGGTAGGCTTTATCCATCATAATAAGTTTTAATGAAATCAATATCTATAACAATGTTTAGTAAACATTTCACATATTTCTGGTTAGTGCTGGGTGAAGGAGCAGCTGTCCAAGGCTCTGCTCTCTCATGGGATTTAATAATGATGACAAAAGTTATTCATTTTTGAATTATAATAAAATATCTAAAATCGATCAATGGGAATTTATCAATTATTTTTGTTGAATATTCGATATACTAAAATTTTTAAATTCAAACACACACAAGATAAAAAAACTTGTGGTGAATCGTTTTTTATTTATTTATTTTGTTTATTGAGATTTTAACCAAAACATGTATTAAGTTCTAAATGTATTTATTAAAAGAAAATTTTTTTTAAATTTCTATCTGAAAAATAATTTGCAAATAATTTTTATTTTAATGAATTTTAGAGGCAGAATTCAATAGTGTTGAAAATACACATCACTGTTAATACAATACATTCATCACTTACACTCAGAATTAAATATAAATAAATAAATATGTTTTTGTTTAATACTTTGTTTAATTGCATACGTAAAAAAAGGTTTCAAGTTACATGATGTAGAAAAATTATACCAGTACTTAAATGTCCAAAGAAAACATTTTTTGGCTTCACAAAAAAATAATTCTAGGACCCTTTAAAAAATTATTCTCTAGGACCCATTAAACCTCTCGCCGGCGCCACCTATGATGTTAACATTTTTGATGATATCTGCAACCGCCTGAGTTGCCTACCCTCACCCCAGCTTAGAAGCTGAACTACTTAATTACTAGACATTGTAGTTGCAAGCAAATTTATTGCAGCACATTAATTTCAGTTATTAACTTATATGTTATTTAATAATCAAATTAAAATGCATAAACATAGAAATAATTAATAAGGCATATATCACATAGCCACATCTAGTATTGGCAACATCTGGTTTTGTGACTAAAAAATGTACTGGCAAATAGCAAACAAAGTGTACCAAGTCTATCAATTCAAATTGAGCAATAAAATTGACATTCCTTTTATGTTACTTGTAATTTTAAATAAAATTACTACAATTTTTGTCTGTCGACATTGTATATTCAAGAAATGAACTAGAATTAACTAGTCATATAACTCTCAACACCTTTCCACCCAAATTTCTAAATGTATGTCACTGATTTATGAACTACTATTATCACTAGGTATGAAGATCAGCTTCAACAACAACGCGCTTCTAATGAAGAGAATTTAAGACGACAAGAAGAATCTGTAGCAAAACAAGAAGCTATGAAAAAAGGTATTTTTGTATATGATAAAATATTTTATATACTTTGAACATATTATATATTTTTATTTTGTTACAGCTACTATTGAACATGAAATTGAGATGAAATCTAAATTAGATGCTAAGAAATCTGAGGCTAAAGCATTAGCTAGAGCAAAGGCAGAGAGAGAGAATCATGATTTAACAATGGAACAACTCAAATTAAAAGCTTCTGAACATCGACAAACAGTTTTGGAGTCCATAAAGTATTTACTTAGATGTAAAAATCATTATTGAAAATGTAAATATTAACAAATTTTTTGTTTTAAGAACTGCTGGTTCAATTTTTGGAAGTGGGGCAAATGCGTTGCTTTCTGATTGGGATAAAACTTTAATGGCTGCAGGAGGCTTATCTCTTCTGGCATTAGGTATATACAGTGCCAAGGGTTTTACTGGTGTTACAGCAAAATATGTTGAATCAAGATTAGGTGAATATTTTAAAGTTATAATGAAATATTTAACTTAGAATGACATAATGTCTTTGGGTCTCAAATGGTTGAATAATATACAACTTATTATAAGGAAACTTACTAACATTAAATAGTAATCAAAATTGAAAATATATTTGACTAAATATTTGTGGCAATTTTTAGGTAAACCTTCATTAGTAAGAGAAACCTCTCGATTTTCATTGTTAGAATCAGTAAGGCACCCAATCTTAACATTTAAGGAACTCAGAACTAAAAAAAGTAGTGCGTTAAAAGATGTTATTTTACCTCCAAAATTAGAATCTAGATTAGGGTATGTATATTTAAAATTATCATTACAAAAATCTTTGATAAATAATATATCTTAATATTGCAAATAAAAATAAAAATTTTTGTTTCAGTGATGTTGCAATTGCTACTTTAAATACTAAGAAAAACCGTGGTATGTACCGGAATATCTTGATGTACGGACCACCAGGTACCGGAAAAACACTATTTGCTAAAGTAAGATATTGTATATAATTGTAGAAAAATTGTTTGATGACCAGATAAGTATTTTTTTAAATAAAAATATTTACATTATTCAATATAATGACTTTATCAACCTTTTCTGGTTTTAAAGTCTTAAAAAGAGAAGATAATAGTGGGTACACTGTTTTCACTTTGTAAATAACTATTAAGTAATCTGCTGTCATAATAGAACAGTTAAAATTTGATTGTGATCAAATTATTTTGAGATGTTCCAATTAAGATAAAAATATTTCTTGGACTGTTAAAAATTGGAGGATTTGAGAGCCATTCCCTAATTTTAAATTTTAATAACGGTAATAATAAATAAGAAGTCTTATGAAATTATTGGAAACACAAATAAGCATTTAAAAAACTATTGTATGTTTTTATCAAATTTCAAAACATTTTTAAATATATATTTCTTTATAACCAATTGTTTGACAACTAAAAAAAAAATTTGGACTAATTTAGTATTATTTTTAGAAATTAGCAATGCATTCTGGTATGGATTATGCTATATTGACCGGTGGTGATGTAGCACCTTTGGGAAAGGATGGTGTAACTGAAATGCACAAAGTTTTTGACTGGGCAAACAACTCAAGAAAAGGTTTATTGTTATTTGTTGATGAAGCAGACGCATTTTTGAGAAAACGTAGTTCAGAGCTGATAAGTGAAAATTTACGTGCCACATTAAATGCCTTTTTATATAGAACTGGAGACCAATCAAACAAGTAAACACCATATTATTTGTCTTATGTTATAAGTATAACATTATATTATCCATTTAACGCACACTACTAATTTATTAAGTAAATTTAAGTATTTAAATGTTTCTTTAGAGAAGATTATATTATAAAATATTTAAATGTATTATTATGAATATTTTAGAAATGGATGGTTCATGCAGATCCCATATAACAACGACTATTTTATATAATAACCTTAATATATAAAAATTAAAGTGTGTTTAGATGGAGTTTATACACTTGAAAACTACTGAACMAATTGGCACCAAAATATCCACAAATATCCCTTAAGTATTTGTATAGCTTAGTTTTTCAACCCAGGTGCTATAAGAGTCACTCACATTTTTTTTTATATACATAGGGTTACCTATTAATTCAGTAATTTGTTTAAGCCCCATCCAAATTTACATTAAATTATTTACAGAATGATTTTTAAGAATGCTCACCCTAATGTTATGCTTTAATTATTCATATTATATTCATATTTTGTTTATTGAACATTTTTT